ATTAGGGACCGAATGCAACTGCTCTGGAAGCAGGGAGGCCATGGGGCCTGGGAGAAGGTAGGACCCGGCAGTCGAGCCAGCTGGAGCAGCGTGGAGGCCCAGGCACAAGAAGTCTGGCTGCCGGCACAGCCGTAACAACTCTCCCCACAGGGCACGCCCCAGCCTGGGTGGTAGAGGGCAAGCCTGGCTTCCAGAAACCCCTTTTCTCAGCCACATCCATGTGAGCAGGGTCTATTTTTCTCTCTCTCTCTTTTTTTTTTGGAGAGATTTTTTGCTATAGGGCGCATGTGCTCGCCAGACAGACAGAGAGAGACAGAGAGACAGAAAGCGAGAAATCCCCCCCCCCATGGGGGATGGCCACGCCGCAATCCCTTCTTCATTCTCCTCTCGGATTTTGGGGGCACATGCACACGCGCCCGGCGTGATTCTAAGCCACCGGGTCGGGGACGTGAACCGTGGTCGACTAGGTGGGAGTCCAGCGACACAGCCATTACGCTAACTGCTGGTTCCCTATTTTTCTCTTTTAAGACACTTGGTATCATTACATCTTTTTATGAAAAACATGAAACACAGGGGCAGCCCCATGGCCTGGTGGTTAGGGGATGGGATCCCAAACAGCCTGCTGTGAGTTCGGACCCTGGTGGTTTGAGAGAGAAACCGGGTGCATGCGTGCGTGTGCCCCAAATCCCAACGGGATGGAGCAGCAGAGAGGAAGAAATTGTGGGGCGACTGCACCCACTGAGGGTGCTTTCTCCCTGCCCCTCTCAGTCTATCGCTCTGTTGCTCTTTGGCAAGCACATGCGCCCTGTGGCAAATAAAGCAAGAGAAGAGACAGTGATTCTCTGGAGGGTTTTTAAAACGTAATGGTTTTGGGGACCAGCAGTTAGCGTAATGGCTATGTCACTGGACTCCCATGTAGTCGACCGCGGTTCGCGTCCGGACCTGGTGGCTTAAAATTCACGCCAGGCGCGTGTGTGTGCGTGCCCAAGATCCTGAGAGGAGAATGGAGGAGAAGGGAGAAGGGATTGAGGCGTGGCCATCCCCCCTGGGGGGTGATTTCTCGCTTTCTCTGTCTCTCTCTGTCTGTCTGGCGAGTGCATGCGCCCTATAGCAAAAAAAAAAAAACAAAAAACAAACCTCTCCAAAAAAACGTAATGGTTTTTCTCTCCCAGAGATATGTGCATTTGAAAAAGAACGTGCCCACAGAGGGTGATGCTGACTCTGCAGAACGGACCTGCGTTAGCTCTTTCACAGGGAGAAGGCCATGAACGAGGAGGGCAGAGATTGGGTGAGCACACAACGCCAGCGAAGCACCGGAGGAGGCTGACCCTGATCTCAGACTTCCAGCCTCCAGACCTGGAGACAGTCGATATCTGTTGTTTAACGGACCAGGAAACTAATACCAATGCCTCCAGATGCTGGAGAGGCTGTGCAATCTAGTGGAGTAGGCTGCAGGCCTCTACCCAGAAGGTGCTAGAAGCAAACTACCCTGAACTGCAACCAGGGGCCGCAGGCCTGCAGATGAAAGCATGTTGGAGGAGAGCCCCAAGAGACCTGTGTCCCAGCCTCAGCAAGGATGCCCCAAGGACAAGGAGACCACCCAAAGGGTGGAGCACACCCAGGAGAGTGGAGCCACTGCAGAGAAACGGAAACCGGGCCAGGTGCACACCCGTGCACACGAGCTAGTCCTGGCGTCTCGATGCACGACCACTGCGGCACGCCCTTGGCCCCCAAGGCCTGGCATCAGTGAAACAGAATCCAGGAAGCCCTCGGGATGGAAGGTCACATCCGGGATGGGCCTAGAACACAAGTTTTAGAAAGTATTTGCAGAGCTGGACGCCCCTCTGCCCTTGCAACCTCACAGACATCAAAGTCCCGTGTAAAGGGAAAGAACTTGAGGTCCTGAAGTTCTGGAGCTGAAATCTCCAAGAGAAGGTAGCTTCGAAGGAGGGTGAAATGACAGGAATCCTCTCCCAATACAAGCAAGTCATTTGCCATCTGGCAGCTCCGACCCCAGGGTTCTGGGGAGTGGAGGCCAGATCCAGTGAATAACTGCTTTATTCCTCCGCAAAAATAAATAAATAAATAAAAGGAGGAGGGGGTTCTCAGGCTTCTCCCTGGGGAGGCTGCCCATAAGGAGCAGGGCTGGAGAGAACGAGAAAACACCAGTGCTCAGCCGTGAGCCTGGTATGCCCTGCAAGCGGAGCTCTGAGCTGGCGTCAAGTCAGACTTCTGCACTGCCAAGCCTGATGGCAGGTCCGCGGGGGCCTGGCTGGCTGTGTACTCAGGACCTGGGGGAGCTTGGGGCTGCTTCCTCTTTCTCATGCAGACTTTAAGCATCGGAGTTTTGGGGAATTTTGAGCAGCTGGGTTTCTGGGGCAGCTCTGGGGCACACTGTCCTCCAGGGCAATGATGCCCAAACATCAGAGAAGCCTGGACACGGGAGGCCCAGCGGGGCTGGACAGGCCTTGGCACCCAGACTGGGGAGTGGGAGGCTTGCCTCTCAGCTCTATTGGGAACTGGTCGGCAGCTTGGGCAAGACCCTTCACCTCTCAGGGTCTCAGGTCCCCCATCTGACCAGAGTAACAGCATCTTGCTCTAGCCCAAGGCCTGTCTTGGGCTAGGGATGCAAACGGGTGAGCTCTGGAGATGAGAAAAAGTTCTTTAGGAAGGGAGAGGGGAACCATCTAGAAATAGGACCTAGGGGTCACGGGAGGTGAATGACAAGAATGAGGGGAGAGCATGAAGCAGAGGCCTTGGGGGTGAAAGGGTCACAGGGTGAGGCCACAGGGTGACAGAGGAGCCCTTGTGCTGGCTGGGACCTTGGCCAGAGGGCTTTGCCCCTGTCTTCCTCCCCCAGGGCTGCTTCCCCTCCCTTTCCCTCCTCTCTCCTCTCCTCCCCTCCCCTCCCCTCCCCAACTCAGAGTCCAGTCACCCTGCCCCCACTAGCCCCGCAGATTCCAGGCCTCCAGCCTGGGGCCCCGGGTGGAAAGGGGGCACCCTGCATCTGCCGGACTTTAGCACCACGAACTCACAGCCACGTCCTCCCTTCACTGCGCCTCAGTTTCCCCTCTTCAGATATCAAGACTAATGACGGCGGCTTTTAGGTCTGATGGAAATGCCCTCTGGAGTGAGGGCGCAGAAGGGGGAGGGCGCCCCGCCGCAACGCGTCTCCACCGCCAGCCCTCTCTAAGGCTGAAGCCCCAGGGAGCGCAGCCTGGGAGCAGCGTCTTCCAGGCACCGAGGCTCAGACCTGGACCCTAGCCCCCAGTGGAGGGGAGGGGATGCAGAGAAGGAAGAGGAGGGAAAAGGGGAGGGAATCTGGCCCTGGGCTCCGCACCGAGCCCCCTCCTCTGCCGCTGCTCTCGTCCCCGCAGCGCGTGACCGCGGCACTGCGGCTGCAGCGCTGCCCTCCCCCACCCGCTCCAGATTCCTGGGGGTTGGGGGGCCAGGAGGTGCAGGACCCGACCTCCGCGGACGTGCGCGCAGCGCGAGGAGGGGGTGGGGACGCCCCTGCTCTCCCTGCTTTGGTTTCTTGTTTGCCAGAGTTTCTGTGCCCGTGAGGGTGTCGCTGAGTCACCTTCCCGGAACGCGCTCGGGACGCCCAGGACCAGCTAGGCTGTCCCGGGGGCCGCTTTGGGCAGAGGCGCACACCGCCGAGACGCGCGGGGGCCGCGGGGCGTGGGGCGGCACATCCACGCCTGCGTCCCTGGTGCCACCTGGGGACCCCAAGGCCCCGCCCGCCTGGCTCCCCCAAGTGTTAGGAAACGGGGCCGGTTCGCCTGGGTCCTCCGAAGAGAAGATTCTGTTCCCTCCGGGTCTGCCTCTTCTCAACTTTAAGACACGAAGAGAAGAGACAGGTGTGTGGGGTCGGGCGGGGGCAGGTGTGGGCGCGCGAGCCCTCCGCAGCCAGGGCCTGGCCCACCTCGGCCTCCTACAAGGAGCGGGTTTATTCTAGCTCTGGCTCAGCCTGGACAGGTCACTAAGGCAGCCTTGGTAACTTCCTCCCACCTCGGTGAATACCGCCCGCCCCCCACAGGGATTTAATTCGAGTTAGCCGCAGACACACGTAGGTCACTCGCCGTGCCCGGTACACACACGGCGACGCGCGCGGCCCCGTTAGCCCCTATTGAAGCGAAAACTCCTGGGCTCCTTTTCGTCTTCCTGATGGGCCAGTGAGGGCGGGCGGTAGGGACACGCCCCCCCAAACTCGGCTCTTCAGTTTTGACCGGGACACTTAAGCCAGTCTACACTGCCAGGCTCCTGCCTGCTCGCAGCTTCTCTGATCCAGGAGATGAGAGTCTCCTGGAGAAAGAATCCAACTCTTGAGGTTCCTGGCAAAGCTCCCTCCTCCGGACAGTGTACTCGAAGCCCGGAGCCCGTCGCCGGCTCTGTCCGGACGGCGAGCCAGGCTGCCTCCCGCTCCGTGGCTGGGCTGCCGGGTTGCTGCGTCAGGTAGCTAAAAATAACCCTCCGCAGGAGAGCCGGAGAGGAAGAAAGG